CGCCGAGAGCCTGAGTAAATTTTTTAAGTTAGTGTAAACAGCACAAGGAGCGCTCATAAGTCAAAACGTTCTCATAAAAGTCAAACTTTACGATAGAGCTGTCAGTTGCCAGATTGCAACACTGGGGTTGCTCAATCCCGAAATTTAAAAGGCAACCCTCGTATATGGTGCCTACGTTTTTATTGAAGTGATTGTTGCAGGGTAAGAGAAGTGTTATTGAGCGAAGGCTGTAGGGCGGGCCGCCCCAGCCCGTCCCACAGCCTTCGCTCAATAACACTTCTGCACCTACCCAACCGCTTCAACCCTACCGTAATCATTGCTTGAACCTACCGAACCTCCCCTCCCCTACTACCTCAAACCTCACCTGAAGATACACTACTCCAGGGTCAGTGGAGTGGACAAGTCCTGCTCCATTAGGAACCAACATTGAGTTTACTGGTACGGTCGAATCGATCAGTACGGTTTATTGGGGGAAAAGTAGGTAGTGCAAAAAATCTGATTTCAACCTACAGAATTCCAGGTGCAGAAATGCATATACCTTTGAGAAGGTGCGTACGTACAAAAATAAGGATGTTTTTCGATGCATTCAATGCAAAAGGGGAAGCGAAAAAAGGGAAGTAATTTATTGGGAGATACCTTTGAGGTAAGTGATGACATTTCTGCTGTACTTGTGATGTAGATTTAAATAACTCTAGTGCATTACCTACAATTTAGGTCATTGGTGATGAATTTATCACAGGCCCTTGCACTGAGCGTGAATGTAGCCCCATGAAATATGCAGAAGAAAGAGTGAAAAGGCCCGCTCATGAGGTAGGCTTACGCGAGCTGTTATAATGCACGCTAAGTTCAAGAATTTTTTTCAGGAGCATCAAAACATAAGGGAGGATAACATATACAATGAAAAACAACCCGTCAAAATCTTTCTGGATCTCATCGCTAAAAATAGAGATGCAGACAATAGTATCACACCACAGTGGTATTTCATGTGTATCACCACCACATCCTTTACAACCATCTTGCAGAAAGAACATGCGGACGGAATAAGAGCAGCAACTCGCCAGTCAGGTTATAGATCGAGAAGGCGTGCAACACAGAGGAACTGGAACCTATGGCAAAAGCGATCAGTAACGATGGAGATTGTCTCAGAGGAACTTTGCATCCTTCAGAATGGTTCTCTTTCTATATCATATTGTATATTGCATATCGTCCGAAAACGAATATAAAGAGCAATATCGTAAGGTAAAGAGAACTGCTGTGCTGCCTAATACCACCATCAGTCACCTTAAGTTTAACTGACCAGCCTGCCCCGTCCTGTATGTACTGACTAAAACGCTTAAACTCACAATATTGGACATGGTTAACCCCACCAAATTCAATGTTAGACCCAGAGTTAGTGGCGCTAGAGAACCTAAGGATAAAATATCTTGGTTTCTCAATATCATCTTGGACCAATTGCTTCGATACATCTTCGCCCAACTGACCAACACAAGCATCTACTCAATAAGTTGTACACCGCTGTCTTCCACGAAGGGTTTATGATGGAATCTTTTGACGCCTTATCACACTGTACACTAATGTTTCGAATGATGCAGTGCTGGAGGCCATATACTAATTACTTTGCTAACATGAACCTGATTTACACCAACACGGGTTAGCTGTTACGCAAGTGATAACGATTTTGGCAATGTGCCTGCGGTGCTCCTTGTTCAGGTGATCAGGCGAGTATCATAAGCAGTTACGTGGTCTAGCTCCTGTGTCGGCCATAGCGTTCATGTCGAAAACCGAGAAGCCATCGAGAAAATCAGAACTGGACCGTGGCCCGATCCTATATTACCGTTACATTGACACTGCCTTATCATGTTCGACTCAGGAAAAATGGACATTTGTTACGATGTTTTAAATGGGCAGTCACAAAACATCAACTTTACATGCGAAAAGCCCGTAGTGAACTGGTTGCTATTCTTGAATATTCAAGTCCAGCTAATACGAGCATAGCAAGAACAAGACGGTACCGCAAGTCAAGCTGCAAGAACATAGTTGTTCACGCCCAATCGGCGTACTCCATAAAAACGAAACAGGCGGTGGTCAATAATATACTTAGAGTCGCAAATAATGTTTCATCCGCAGATAATGTTCTGAGCTGAAGAAGGAGTCTTTGCGCATAGCCCAGAGGATTGCCTCGTTGAACGGACACCCGTGCTCTTGGTCAACACGACAGGGGTTTTGCTCTACACCAACAGTACAGGAAAGAACACAACCTGACAAGGCGACTTTTGTTTGCCTTTCATTTCCGAGGAAGTAAGCAGATCTACTCGAACAACTGTGCTTCGGTGTGGTCTTCAAGACGATATACTGATTGTCGAAATACTTCCAAACGCCCTTCGGAAGCTTCTTGTTCGTAGTCGACTTCACGATACTGTATACGACGCTTCTGATTGTGTGGTATGCCCTCATGGCAAAGTGGGTTACTGCATGAAGTTGGGAGCGGTCTACATACGTTGCCAAAGCTGTGGATGGGAGTACATTGGAAAAACAGGTCACCCTTTGTGCGTTTGTGCTCTGCGGTTAAAGAACATCTAAAAGGGCTGGCTGGATCAAGGATGCATACTCCGCTAGGAGCCCATCGGGATTTATTTCACGCAGATTTATCCTTGAAGGTTTCCGTGTCCATACTCCACTAAGGAACCCCTTATGATAAAGAAGGAGGAGTGTGTAGCCATAAACCGCAAGCTCGCACCCTTCCTTGACCTGTGTAACCTTTCATCCACGATTAAGTCAGTGAGAGATGCTAGTCGTTACTTCAAAACAACAGTTATTGCGAGATTGATCGTCCTTCTGTCTTAGCGGCGGACTCTAATTGTAAGGTGAGCAATCCATGCCTAATTCGATCATTACCTTTGGGGTTTGCTGGTCTATTTAAAGTTTTTTGGAGTTTTGTTGAAGCGTATGGGCGAGCATGCCACACAGATACTCTGCACTATTTCAGGTCCTGACGAAGGTGAAGCAACCGAAACTTTGGCCAAATAAATTGTTTAATCTTTAGAGGCTTAAAAAGGATCCATCTCTACTTCAAAAACCCCGACACGCGAGGGTCACTCCGTCTACGGCAAATGTCAGGGATTCTTGGACTACTTGAAAACAAATCCCAATCCTATGAACCTTTTCAAAGTCTTTGGTGCAAGTGTGGTGCAAGTGGAAGCTCAAGGCGATGATGACTACTAATTTGACTGGAGCTTTCCACACGTACACGATTGCTTAGCTGACCAAGATTCCGACAACTAATTTTTTAGGCGACTGCAAGT